GTGTGTTAACAGAAGACTACAATGGGGGCTCTGAGCCATTTTTTAAAGTCTAAACCTCTGAGCCAGCTCTAATTAATATGGTTAACCCCATGCCACACCCAGCTGCAGATTAGTGGAAGTAACCTCCCTCTAAATTGTGAACTAAAAATATACAAGATGTCTCAACTGCTCTTAACCGATACTACATATTTCAATTGGAATGCAAAATTAATTAACAACCTTTTGTCAGCTGTTTGTCAGAAACAAAATATTTTAGGGTCAAACCAATAGCAAGTATGCAACGTAAGCTGAAATCTGAAATGAAGCAATGTAATGCAGCAGTAGGAGAAAACAGGCAGCACTACCATAATCACCTCAACATCTGCAAAGAGCCACAACACAGCAAGTGAAATGACTCCACAGAGCAATGAAACTGAGCACAACATAAAAAGGGGCTTATATCAGAAGAGCTGGAGATACAGGTCCCATTTGCAGATTTTCAGATAGTGCAAAGAAAACAAGCCAGTCACTTCCACACTCACCACACGCACAGATTATTTGCAAGGCAACTCTAAAACTCTTTTGCTTGAAGTTAAAAAACCAATCAGCTTTGATGTAACTGTGCTACTGCTCTACTTCATTTATGCAAGCATGCAGGATATGTTTGGCACATGCGCAGGAGAAATGCAGAACACAGACACACCTGCAACTGCAAACAAATCCAATGACCTGCATTTGCCACCGCAGTGTTCTGCACGAATCCAGAGGTTTTCTATGTTAAAATCTCAGCTCTAAAAAGCTTGTCATTCCCCACAAGCAAGCAAAAACCTCGGGAAAATCTATAATTCAATCACACTGACTATGTCACTTAAAACCCTGAAAAAAGGATACTCACTTATGTAAAAATTCTATTTATTAATTATCAGTTATAATTCTTAGCTCTGAAGTCTACCAAGAAAATGCTTTACTCATTTACAAATGACTCAAGAACAGCGCTTTGTTTATCCTCATCTACTGTATGTATTGCAGCATTTCAATACACAAGATGACCATACTCCATTAAACTGTAAAAGGTCAGTACACACTGCTGCAATAAAATCAACTTTGTGTGAAACAGATGACATTTATAGTACAAACACAATATTCAAGTCACTAAAGGAATAAACGTGCGCCAGCTGCTTTTCAAAGCAAAATCATTGTTTACAAAAAAATAGTGTATGCAGCAAGAGCCAACAGAGCACTGAGAATTATTCACAAAACTTTGTCTAAAACAGACTTTCTTTTCAGAAATACTAGGAACATCACTAAATACATATCTGGATTACCCATGCAGAGTAAGTCGTATCTACTTCATGCTGTCTCAAAACTCATAGGCTAATGCATGCTCGTTGCTAAAACACCTTGTTAATTTGTCATAAAGCCAGCATTTTTACCTGATTTCCCAGTGTTATATCAACTCCTCTTTCAATTAATTTCTAGAGCTGACAAAATGTCTCCACCATCTTATTCAACACACAACAGATATATTTCATACCAGAAAATACTGAAGGTTTTTGCATAAGCAATTGCACAAAATCAATCAAAATCAGTACAGTAGATGTAAACATGTCTGCTCATTTACAAATTAAACTTAGGTGAAACTTACTGAAATCGTGCTTAAATTACCACACTTGAAATTTTAGTTAAATCACAAGTTTTGATCTTGCTTTGACTATTTTTGTTACTTCCCCAAATAAAGATAATTTTGACTTATGCAATTTGATGTTTTTACAAGAAATAGAACGCTGACTTCTATTTCTTTTCACACAGTTACACGGTCTTTAGATTTCTGCATTTTTAAGTGGCCCAGAAACTTATTTCTTACAAAACAACCATCCTTTTCAGTTATTCATTTGTATCAAGCTGAATTTCCATGGAAGTTTTGGAAATTCAACTGCACAAAAACACATTACCCTTGTTTCCAAGGCAACCGGTTTTACGTGATCATACAACCCAACCCAGCTGTCCTTCTGCCTCTCCTCCAGCAACTCGTGGACGTATTAGCTTATTCCAACTAAACAGTTAGGTAAAAGCATCAAGAATACGAAATTCTCACAGGCTATGGAAATAGGAAGCCAAAGTATGGAAAAATCCTTTGCTCTCCTGGCCTCTTTGTCAGCTGGGGCACCACAACACAAACCTTTGGTGTGCCAGCTGCAGCAGCACATCACCACGTGAGGAAACCAAACCAAGAAAAAACCCTCCTAGCCGGCAGGCCAAGGAGGTAGGCAAGCAACAGGAGAATAGAGGAAGAGGAGGAGGAGAAAAAAATCTGGGGGGTGTTTAAGTAAGGCAGTACCAAAGATGGGGAAGCAAGGGGTGCTAAGAGGTATTACGAAAGTGTGGCAAAGGAAATGACTGAAGGTGTCCCAGAAGAGAAAGACAGTATGTTTGCAGCAAAGGTGATCAGAGACCCAAATACAAATCTGCACTGCACTAGAGTTTGTTAGTTCATTTGCTCTCATAATGTTATTAGGAGTATACAAATAATTCAAACATTCTGTACCCATAACACAAAAGTGAATTTATCAGCACAACTTCTGCATTTGAATCTAACTGATTTTTAGACTTATACATAGTAATAGGATACAATACATAGTAATTCAAACTTAACAGCTTTCGGTTCCCATCTCTGACAAAAGTTTTAGAACCAACAGCTCCCATCATCTCAAATTTGTTGTCAAAACAGAAAACAAGGAAAACTTAGTTTTTCCTTAACTCCTGCTTTCCCAAAGTGAAAGACCCAAATAAATAAACTGGGGGGAGGAGGGGATTACATGTCCCAGAAGAAACTAGTGCTCATTTAGCATACCAAGAAGTGCTGACCAATGATTTCTATGGGTCATATTTGTGGTTTATAAAATATGAGTTATTTTAATAAGTTGTAGTAAGTTCAGGTCCTGAGACAGCAGTAACTTCATATGTAATTTGAATGGACTTTGTTGATGCTAAAGAATAAAAAATGGAAAATTTTATGTATACACCAAAAGGCATTCAACTGAAAAAAATAAAGTTTTAGATCTTCTTTGGAAAAAAATAATTATTTTCTCTGCTACTTCCAGATTCTCTTTCAAAGCAGGTTAGTCAGCAGTATTGCACAACAAGTTGTCCAGTCCTAAAGATATTAAGTATGGCAACAAACTGTATGAAAAACACATTCCAGATTTCTGAAAGTGCTACTGCTCCAACCCAAGTAAGCTAGTTCACATCTGATTTAATAATCTAAGATTAAATTGCTTACCGTATTAATCAGTCATCCATTTCACGAACATATATACAGATCCATGCCTTTTTTATGATTAATTGTAGCCTTAGGGTTTACCTACAGAAAATATTCATTAAAACAAACTAAATTAAAGCCACTTCCACTCTGAATGGGTGTCCACAGAACAGATTTAACTGAACTGCCTGAAATTAACTCTCACATCCACCAATTCGGTCTTTTCTTCTGCACCAAGACTGTAGACATATCCTAAAGGATAAGCATGTCCATTTAAATTACATCCTAGTTTTACCCAATGCAGTGATCCTTTAGGCTATATTTTGAGCTGAGTTTTTCAGAAGCATTAAAATAAAAGGCATTTTAAGAGTCTTTCATACAAAACTATTTTCAGATATTTTAAGTTAGCTTCAGTTTTTGCAGAATCTTAGTTTTACTCCATTACAGACCCTTCTGGTTTTGCATACATACAACAACCTACAATTGCATCTGGAATGCAATCTGTGCTGCAGCAATTCCACTACAACTGGTTTTGAGGTCTCATTGTCCCAGGTAAGGTCTCTGTATTTACGGATGTCACTTAAAGGCTAAGAAGGAAAAAAAAAATTCTACACAGATTATTGAGCCTGATGTAGGCAAGACGAACAATGGCCAAGAGACGTGCTGCTGTTAGCACGGGCAGCTTATTTGCATTTAGACTGTAGATAAGAGTCCAGAAACAGCGCAATCTTCAAGCCCCGGCTCTAGAGTAACACCATTTATACACAGCAAAGTTGTAGCAGTTTAGAAGAGATTGGGAAACCAAAGAATCTTACTCCAGCTTTCAAATGGCTTTTTTTAAACTGAATCTAAGTCGAAAAAAGAAAAAAATCAAGCGAGTAGTTCAAACCGAAGCATGCCTAAGCAGAATGCACTCAGTTATGCTAATGCATTTTCCGTTCTCGGTTCAGAAGATCAAGGTAATAGAAGATCAAGGTAATAGAAAGGTTCGGCAGCCCCCGCTGGAAGCACAGGAGGGAC